TCAAGGTTGGATATTACTTGTGCTGGGCTAAATAGCATCAAGTTCAAATCCTTTCCAGACTGCTTATGCACAGCATACAGTTGCTTGACTACTTTCGCTGTACATTCGAAAATGGGATGTCCATTTGCTTCCAGAACTAAAGGGGATTTCCACGTTTAAATTGTCTTGATTCCTACAGAATAAGGATAATGGCTTCTTATGACTGGATAGTTCGATGTAAACAGCTTTCTCCGGCTCCCTAACAGGTCGAACTTCACCTGGCTATACATCCAAAATTGAGAAGTCCATTTGTTCTCGTTGGGAGCTTGTGTTACTTGGAGCATGAGAGCCTGGGGGTGTGGGAGCCTGATGGCCTGGGAGCCGGGGGCCTGGAAGCCTGGGGGCCTGGGAGCCTGGGGGCCTGGGAGCTTGGGAGCCTGGGGGCCTGGGAGCCTGGGGGCCTGGGAGCTTGGGAGCCTGGTAGCCTGGTGAACTGGGGGCCTGGGAGCCTGGGAGCCTGGTGACCTGGGGGCCTGGGAGCTTGGGAGCCTGGGGGCCTAGGGACCTGGGAGCCTGGGAGCTTGTGAGCCTGGGGGCCTGGGAGCCTGGCGACCTGGGGGCCTGGGAACCTGGGGACCTGGGGGTCTGGGAGCATGTGAGCCTGGGGGCCTGGGGGCCTGGGGACCTGGGGACCTGAGAGCCTGGGGGCCTGGGAGCTTGGGGGCCTGGGGGCCTGGGAGCCTGGGGACCTGAGAGCCTGGGGGCCTGGGAGCTTGTGAGCCTGGGGGCCTGGGAGCCTGGGAGCTTGGGAGCCTGGGTGTTGTATCCTGTAAAGGTTTTCCGCAACGGTTTGGGCGCCGAAACCTAACTGTCGGTGGTTAACTCGTCCACTCCGATTTACCAAACTCCAATGTTACTAACTTAACCCGTCAATTCCGCGGTTGGTGCTTACAGGTATTAACTAATACTGATATTAGTTTAATTGCGGCTACTGTTAGCTGCGGCGGCTAAGCGACTACTGTTAGTCGTCCACCATCTAAATGCCGCACTGTTGCGGAAGTCCATGGGCGCCGGCGGATCCAACGACTACTGTTAGTCGTCCGCCATTCAAGTGCCGCACTGTTGCGGAAGTGCATGGGCGACGGCGGCTAAGCGACTACTGTTAGTCGTCCGCCATCTAAATGCCGCACTGTTGCGGAAGTCCATAGGCGCCGGCGGATAACACGACTACTGTTAGTCGTCCGCCATTCAAGTGCCGCACTGTTGCGGAAGTGTATGGGCGACGGCGGCTAAGCGACTACTGTTAGTCGTCCGCCACCTTAATGCCGCACCACTGCAGAAGTCCATACCTGCGTATGGGCAGGGGTTTTACTTACGTAAAGCTGGGACCTGCGTCCCAGTTTCGTCTGACCGAGCGAGAGTAGTTCCTGCGAACTACGGCTTCTGGATACGGCGCCGCCCAGTCGTACTGGGAATCCTTATCGGCGCGAGGCCCAAGTGGAGTCACTGATGACTACTTATTCAAGACACTTGTCTCAATCGGTATCT